TGACAAACTTTGTCGTAAAGTACTATATTATTTTTCCGACTTTCCAACGATTATCGACACTACTGTGTGCCGGAAATAGCCGTTCCCTAACGGGTACTTTACGGCACACAGTAGTGTCGATAATCGTTGGAAAGTCGGAAAAATAATATAGTACTTTACAATATTACAATTCTGCATAAAAGAGGACCCTACTGTTTTTAAAATAAACTGCTTTTAAAACTGCACTTTCAACAATACTAATAATGCAATAATTATTGGTTTGACATTAGTTTTTAAAATAAGTTATTACATATTGTTTATAGTTTGTGAATTATACAGTGAATAAAACAAAAATATTAAAATTATTAGCAGTACTGATTGTGTTTCAAGGCTTCATCATCCACAAAGATGATGTGTAAATTACAGTATAGGGTCTCCAATAAAACTGTCTATTTCTTAAGTAATAAAATATGAACAATTTTTATTTTTTATATCGATGTGTAAGTTTAACTTACAAAAACCACTGAATTCTATTCATTCTCCTTTCACCTGTACAACCTTCATACTCAGAATGAATGTGTTACAAGTGGCACAAATGACAGCCATCAGAATCTCATCCTAAATTTTGCCAAATAGGTGTTTGATGTTCTGGACATTCATGGTATTGACTTTGTCCAATACATATCCAAAATACATTAGTCTAGTGTGGTGGTAGTCTAGTGCAGTGGTTCCCAACCTTTTTTCATTAGCGTACCCTGTGACAGGTCATATCTATAGATTGTACCCCTCATTTAAGAAATTTAGTAAGTACCTGTATTGTTAATTTTACATATTGTAACTTTAAATTAAAGAAAAAAAAACTAAATGAAAAAATTCATAATAAAGTTGTGATTGTTGCAAGGAACATTTTTTACCTAATAATTTTTTAATACTATTAGTTTGTGATACATAATATATTATTTTTTCTGCCATAATAACTAACTTTTTTCTGTACCCCTAAACAACCTATCACGTACCCCTAGGGGTACGCGTACCACAGGTTGGGAATCGCTGGTCTAGTGCAATCCCTACTGCCCACTAGTGGGCAATTTGAGCTTTTGTGGTGGGTGGTAGGAGTTTTGTCTGATGCTGAAGCTACTTTCCATCATCACTGTGCATCTATGACTCACTAATGGAGCAGGTTGTACTGCACTCTAGTGCACGTAACAAGGGCAGGATGTAACAGTGGTCATCGCTCAAGTTGAGTTCGTTTTGTGGTGGGGCCAGCCTTGCCAGATTTGGCTACTTTTTTCAGTTTGGCGTAAAAAAAAAACACATGGTGTACTGGCAAAAAATTGTCCGTATATTATAAACATATGCAAAAATAAAAATATAAATTTAACTATGTATTTTTACTAAACCTCCAGTCAGAAATTACAAGTACTTTGTAGTTGTGCTAAATTAAGTTACTGCAGAATTGGTTGGCAGTTAGAAAATTTTACTACCAACAAAGATACAAAAGTGGGTGGTAGGTATAAAAAGGTTGACTATCCCTGGTCTAGTGGGTTAAGGTCTGAGGATTAGGCAGGCCATTCATTAAGCATGATGAACTCTGGTACAATTTTCTTCAACCAGGATATTTTGCTTTAGACAACCTTCAGAATATGGATGATATAGTAGTTTTGGTTTCCTTTGACTCCTGTTTAATAAATATTAGTGGCAGAATGCCACAAATGAAGATAGTGCTCAAACCATGACTTGGGATACATTCTGAAAGTACTGAGCCTGATGAACCTTGTCTCTGGGAACATCATTTATGGATCTTATATAGATGCAATCATTCTAGCTATTGAATGTGTTTTGCAGCTGAAATGTTTTTAATCAGGAAAAAAATAATCAATGATTTTGCATGCTGGGAGATCAACTTGTATCTCTTATCCTAGCCTACTCCTTTTTTCTCAGGACATGAACTTTTTATTTCTTGTAAGCACAGAAGTGTAGATCATTTTGCATGATTCAGTGTATTGATGATTTGCAGCTGGACTTCCTTGACAACAGTGCTGAATTCTGCCTGAGTCACTCTTTAATATACTTAATCACTTTTGATATCTGTACAGATCTGGACTTTGTCTGAAACGAGGAAGGCATTGCAAACCAGTTTCATTACTTTGTGATTTCTTCTTGGTTTCACATTAAAAGCTCCTATTTCTTCAAAATGCAAAATAATTTTTCCGAGATTAGTAAAGATTGATTAGAGGACCTTTACATAATGTACAGATCTGGACTTTGTCTGAAACGAGGAAGGCATTGCAAACCAGTTTCATTACTTTGTGATTTCTTCTTGGTTTCACATTAAAAGCTCCTATTTCTTCAAAATGCAAAATAATTTTTCCGAGATTAGTAAAGATTGATTAGAGGACCTTTACATAAGGACTTTGGAATTTCTTGAGTGCAGCACTAGTATTGCTGCTTCTTTAATAGTAAAATTTAATGAATAATGTGCAATCAGGTAATATAAGCACCATGATTTGTTGCTAATCCATATTGAACACACTTTGCAATGTTTTATAAACCTAAGATTGTTCCACAATTTATATATGCAAACTGAGGTAACATTAGTGCTAAATTTCCACCTATAAGAAATTTTGTAGAACTATTATAGTATTTAATTTATATCTTAGTTATCTTCTGTAAGGATTTATCACACCGAATGACCAATCTAACACATTTTAAAAATTATTTATTCCTCTAATCTACACAATTTAAAGAATTTTTAAAATGCATTAGATTGGTTACTCAGTATGATAAACTCTTATATAAGATAACGTTTGTAGTTGTATTATATTATAGTATTTGATTTATATAACAGAAGGGTTAGAAGTACAAAATAATTTAATAAACTTAATCTTTGCTGCTGTTAATTTTTGCTCAAGCAAAGCCAGGCTCATCTGCTAATTTTATATACTCTTTCAAGATTGTAAAGCACCTTTTTGTTTAAAAAGGTGCTTAACTTATAAAATATTTATTTCAACTTAAAAATGTATCTTACATTACTATAGAATATATTATGCTTAAAATTTCCAAAAGTAATTCTTGTGATTAAAGTATATTTTTATTTTTTAATCTAGCTAAAAATGAACATCAATAGGAAGAATGAGATGGGAGATAAACCATGGTATTTATTATTTAAATATTATTATTTTTTTATTAGAGATGGGTGGATATCACTTTTCTCAAATTCAAATATCAAATTTAAATATAAATCAGATCTTGAATGTTTCGAATACTCGAATACCTCGAATACTTAGTGAACTTAATTATCTTATAACTTATTTGGTTAATAAATTAATTTAATATTTACTATTTAACTTGTTTTATTTATTTCTATATATTAATAAATTGATAAAGTAAAACATAAACTGAAAACAAAAACAGTTTAGTAAATTTTAAAAAATGAACCTTCAAACGTATTTATTTTGACTTTGAGTTTTACAGTGCATTCTTTTTAGCACTGTTAGTTTAATTACAATAGATTACTCAATGATTATTCTCATTTTTACTAACTACAGATTTTCATTTACGAAAAGAAGCATTCAAACACATTCAGGATCTAGTCTGATTCTTTTCTTGTGGCAAATGAAACCAAAGGTGCTGAAGACATGGTTGCCAGATTGGGAGTTTTCCCAAAATGGGGACTTTTTAAGTCAACTGGGAAATAATGGGGAAGAAGCATTAATGGGAAAATTTTGTGGGGAATTTTATATTCTCAAATGAGAAGTTGGGGAATATATAATTTTTTTTATTTAACAATAATTTAACTTAATATTATTAAAAATGAACTGTTTTTAAACTTTTTTTTATTGTAGCCCATGTATTATTAGCTTGCCTGAATAGAGAAAATGCTAATTAAGCTTGTTAAAATGTCTGTAGTTCTCTCAGGATGCTATTACATAATTCTATAACAACATCTAATATAACTAAAGATAAAAAAGTAAGATGTATGATCAAATTGACTTTGCCTTTAATCGCATATATTTTTTAAGTTTGTTCATTTATTACATATATTTTGTTTGCTTTTTGAGATTTTGGCATAATATTTGTTTTATTGTAATAGAAAAATTTTTAACCAGATGAGTACAGTAAATTGAAATGTTCAAATATGATTAGTATTTCAAAAACATTAATAATTGTTTTGTTAAATTCTTTGTTTTCAATATTAGAAATTATTTTAATTTTTTTTAAATTAAGAAGTAATTTATAAATAATAATGCTCTTACTAAAATAAATCAATTAGAATTGTTTTATTGGTTAATCAAGCTGAACATGCAAAACTTTTGTAGAAAAGTTTTAAACATAATTTAAGTTAAATGGTAGTTAATGTAAATATGTTACACTTTAAGTGATGTTTGAGTTTATAAAATTTTTTATATGTCTACATAATAATTAAATAAATAAATGTATGTATATATATAGTTATAAACAATCAAGTATTTAATTTTTAATATTATTATCAACAAAAAATAATTGGAAGTGTCTGCATTTATAACTCAACAACTTTCTGAAGATATGATAAAACAGATGAAATTTAAGAAGTTTTGTATTCATGCAATATATTTAAAGAATGTAAACACATCTGAATAGATACAGTATTTGGCTTATCATTGTCATAATATGTACTGTGCATGAAGTAAAAAGAGAAGAATATCATAGTTATATTAGAATTTTAAAATGAAATAATATAAAGTGAAAGTAAAGTTTTATGTATATTTTTCCTTCTTCCAACTATTTTATGCAATATTATGTATCTTACATATTTTCAAATTATGAAATAGAACAAATGAATATATGTAAATTAAAGCAATAACTCTGAAAAACATTTCAATAAAAATATGAATATTGAAAATGTTAAAAATGTTTCTGTGATATTGATATTATGGAGAATCTTTTGGTAAAATTTCATAATTTGGGGAAATTTTGCAGACACTTGAGGAATAATTGACTCTATCTATCTGGCAACCTTGTCTGAAGAGGTGCTGTCTGTATGTATGGAACAATATTAGAGGTATTTATAGTATTCAAATATTTTTTTATCAATGGGCTATTTGAAGACCTTGAATACTTTCTAGTATTTGAGTGTTTGTGGATAGTATTCACCCATCCCTATCTTTTATAATAAAATAATACAAATGTGTTAAGACTTTCACACCAATAAACTTTAATAATTTTCTTACTCATATTAAATTTTCACATGCCAATTCTGATTTAATTATATAAATGGTAAACAATGTTTAAGAAATGTAATAGTTATTAATTTGAAGTAATGTAATAAAAGATACAATAAAGAATGGAAAATTTACAGCAAAATTTGGAATAGAATAATTTAGAATGTAAAAGTGAAATAACAAAAAATAATAGTTAATTCACAGTATATTTATAAATTAAAAAAAGTAGATTTTTTAAGTAGAAATTTAAATTCAAATGTCAGTCTTGTTTTATTTCATTTGAGTTGATTAAAAAGCATTTGCTTCAGAATTATAGTTAAAAATCTAATTGCTATATCAGTAGATACAATGTAGTTATGACAACAAATATACAAGAAAATGAAACATTTGAAATTGTATATTTAAACAACCATATTTAAAAAAGTGAAAGTATTGTCTGTATTACTATAGCTTTTATTTTCATAATAATTTCATACAGTTGTATTACAATTGAGTAGATTTTCCAAGTAATACTTACACCTATTTAGAATTTCTTCTGTACAAGTTAAGAGTTCTTCATTTTCATTCTTGAAGAAATTCATCTTTGCAATATAATCTTTGATGAAATGTTTGAGATTGCTACAAAATTTTGTAGAGATATTTGATTTGTTTTTCTCTTCCATACACTCAATTTGATTATTTACAAATTTTTTTTCATTCCTGAGTGTATTCTTTGCTGTTTCTGATAGATTATTTAGATGAAGTTTTCTTTTGACCTCTTGTTTTTACAGCCTCTTCATATTTATTGTTGAACCATTTATTTCATCTAGAGCAGTGATTTCCAAAGTGGGCACTACTGCCCACTGGGGCAGTGAGTAAATCTAGGGACAAAAAAAAGCAAGGAGGCACTGGAGGCAGGATCCTGACTGAATGGTGACCATAGACATGATTCAGGTCACTGATAACCTTTTATTGATGTTTGGTTATGACTAGTATTTCTATCTAGTGAAGTCGATATGACTTCTTTACCAATCTTTGCATTGAAATCTCTACTAACAGTTTGAAGTAAGCTAAAGTTGTTTATCTAAAGAAAAGTATTCTTAGAATTTGTGTTTTAGTTTTTAACATGTTATGTTTTTATGGGATGGTGTTAGTCCCATGTCCAACCCTCATCATGAAGGATCATACTATCTAATTTTGTCTAGCTCCTTCTCTAAGATTTTTGTCCACCTGGAGATCCTACTAGTAGCAGTGCTATTGCTGGTGTACAGTAGCTCTTAATCATTGGGGCATGCAAGCCATCACCACCACATTAAGGTAAAAATACTAATTGAGATTGATTCCATTATTATTAATGATATTGTTGTGATACAGAGATTATATTAATGAAATCTTTTCTTCTTTCCTTTCTCATCATCAGTGACTGGTTGAATCTTCCAATTGATCTTTTTTAGCTTTTCCTTTCTCAGCTAGGTTAGTGAGATTCCTATATGAATGCTTGGGAATGTTTTTTAATTTTTTCAATCTAGTTTATCCTTGGGCTGCCTCTTGCATCTTTTCATTTTTATCTGGATGTACTGTACATAGCTTGTCTGGAAGGTCTGATGGGTACATTCTTATTATTTGACCAAAAAAAATAGTTGCAAACGTTAATATATGATGTGGTCTGTTATTGTCTTGGCAATTTAATTCTTGGTGTACTGTTTCATTTTTGTCTATTTCCATCCAGCTTGTTAATTTTTGTAAGGATTTTATTTCAAATATCTCACGTTTTTTAATGCTAGTATTGCTAATAATTGAATTTAAAGAAATTGGTGGAGGATGAGATGAACACCCTCTAAAGATAACAAAAAATACAATTTACACATAACTATAGAGTCATTATTTGTTCATAAATGATAAAATAAAAAGTTTTTGACATAAAATATATAGCTCCTATAATTAAAGTAAAGTATATATTTGTGTGAAGAAAAAATAAGTAGACACGTTCTTAAAAATTAAAAAAAAGACTTGTCATTCAGTCTAAATATGTTATTGTTGAAAAAAATCTTTTTAATTTACTACTTTATTATTGGATGTATATACATATCCAATAATTAAAATTTACAGTTTAAAAGTTCTTCATATTTTAACTACACACAATTTATTGGAATTAAGCTGGAGATCAAAATTTACCAGTCTTTCATATAAAATAATTTGGATATTATGTAGATGTAGATCATGTTTGTGTCAAAATAATATAAATTTTTTATGCTTCTGTTGTTACGTAATGAGGAAAGTAAATTAATTTTTAAGATAACTAAGCAATTTGATTGGTATTAGAAGTGAATTTAATTTATAATGTAATAATAATAGATAGTAGACAAATACATATATCTAACATTTTAAGAATATTTTCATTATACAGTGGGTGATCAGTTAACAAACACAATCTGTTCCAAGACTTTGTTTGCTATCCGAATTGTTCGTTAACCGATTATTGATTTACCATAGGTTTCTATGGGAATTTGATTAATCCGTTCTGGATACTCCCAAAAAAAATATATATATATATATACTTTCTTACTACGTTTATTCATATGTAATAATAAAAATAAACACGGTCTTGTATTTTTATTTGTCATGTTTTTTTCATTTGTGGGGGTTAAAGAATCTGTCCAATGTCGATTGCTTTTCTGTCTTCTTCATGATTTTTCAGAAGTAATTACTATTGTAATTGTAGAGATCCCTAAGCCTATTAACCGCAACCTGGTTTGAATGTCATTTTAAGACCATTGTTCCGACATCCTCCCACTTGTTCAAAAGATCTTTAATAGCAGATATCGGCATAAATTTGCTTTTTCAGAAGAAAACGTAAAAGAATTGTTTCTGTCAGAAATATATAAGGCTGGAATTATAAGGGAGAGTTTCAAAGTTCGGGGGAATACTCTGATCAGTATATACTGGGTTGGATGTCGATGTCTCCCGCGCACTG